TCGCCCTCGCTGGCCGCGCAGCCGCCTGCTCCGATGCCAGGCTCCGCTCGAGGAGGTTTCCGCTGGAGACGCGCAAATCTATTTACCAGTGGAGACTGGAGACATCTGAAAGTGAGGAGGTCAAATTGGCACTTAATGAGCCAATTAAGCCAGGGGAGGGAGAAACAAGACTGGAAGCAGGGAAGGCATCTCCTGGCCTGCGTGGCCCCTGCCCTCCCCATGCTACCTGCGGTACCGGCTGCATTAAGGACTCGTTAAGTGAAGGAGCAAAGGTGCTTGCTGCAGAGGTGGGGGCTGTCTCTGGGCAGGGGGTGCAGGGGGGGCTGGTGAGGCCGGCAGAGCTGGCAGCCTGTAGGTCCGTCCCTCGGGGAAGCTGCGGGGTGAGCAGGCAGCTGACAGCAGGCGCCTGGCTGGGGACAGGTCACCCCGAGCAGTGGCACCAGTGCTGGTGGCATGCGGGCAGCCCAGGGCCCCGACCCCCGGGGGGGGGCAGCCCCAGCTGCAGCACCAGCCCTGCCCGTGGGAGCTGCCTGGGGTACAGGGCAGCTTTGCGGCTGGCTCAGCACCCTCTTAGGAGCAAGCAAAGCATGCAGGTGTGGGAGAAGATGTCAGGGCTGCAGGGCTGGCTTGTGGCTCAGCCACCATCTCCTTGCTGTTAGGAGCAAGCAGTGGGAAAGCACAGAACCTTGCAGGACGAGGTAGGATGGAGCATGGAGCCGAAAAAGATGGGATTAGGAGGGACTCTGGGGCTGCCATGGCAGGATCAGCACCCCTACCACCACGTCTAAACTGGGGCCCTGCAGACTGGTCAGACCTCACAACCGACTACCATCATCACCATCATCATCATCATCAATGTATGGCCAATAGAGAAGCTGTACGTTGCTAGATTAGTTCTTTTGGTGATTAATTGCTCTCACCATTAAAGACCAGAGGCTATTAAGAGGTTTTCTACTTCCTCTATTTTGGATTCCCATCTACCCACCTCGCTCTGTGCTGGCATAAATCAGAGCAGTTCCACTGACAGCTTTGTACCAGGAGACAATTTGTCTGCAGCCTTTCATATTTTGGAAAAGAGAAGTAGCAGAAGCAAGAGAAAGAAGTGCTGCTGGGCAGAGACTGGGGAGAAGTGGTACAGGCGACAAGGGCAGAAGGACCAAGGCTTCAGATGGGCATGGTGGAGGGCAGGCAGCATCCTCCAGACCACGAACAGACCTGAGGCACCAGAGCCCCAATCCAGCTTTGATCCAACTGGATTTTTGGTGAGTTAGAAGACCAGGCTCAGGCTGGGCAGGCACCAGGACCCTATACAGCAACAAAGACCAGGATTTTCCATATGTGCACTGGTCTGGACGACCCCTGGATTAAAGACATCCCCGAAAACCAGCACACAGTGAAGAAAAAGATGGGAGCCCACATGTTCCATGGGATAAAGCTGCCTTGGCGCAGGAACGTCCCTCTGGCCCTGATGTCCCCGTGTGTGAAGCAGAGCGTGCGTCCTGGGCAAAGGACACAAATGAACAGCACAGGCAAGATCAGATTATGTGAAATCCCCTGCTCACTTGACCTCCTTCACGTCCCATCTTCTATTTATATGCCTTGGGGCTGCCAGGGACAGCGCAGGTCGTCCTTGGCCCACACTCGCAGGGCTGGGGGGCTCAGCTGTGGGTGGCCCCTGGAGCTGGCTGCCACCATCTCAGAAAGAGAGGTTTGAAGGTTTTCCTCCTTTCAGCCCAGCTGTGGGGTCTGCTATCCCCCCCTCACTGGAGGTGAAAAGCAAACTGAAGCGCTACCCTGGACTCACTTCCCCATTGACAAGGGGGACTCCTTGGGCTTTGGATGTTGGGTTTCCTCAACAAGCAGAGATTTATTCTTTGGTTGATGTGATATTTAACAAGAAGGCCCTGGCCAGGGGGCCAGGGCTGGTTACAGATTCCTGCTCTGTTTGCCTGTCTCATGTCCTTCCCCTCTGATCTCTCCCTGGCAGGAGCTGCTCACTGCCTGCTCCCGAGTGATGTGTGGGTTTGGGGAGGTGGACGTGCTGCTGGCCCGGGGTTTGGTCTTGGTGCCAGTCCAGCATGGGGGGACACAGGGCGATGAGCACCCAAGGGAGTACAGGAGCACCCAAAGGAGCCTGCTGGGAAGAGCCAGGTCTGTGAGGGGAGACGTCTTCCACGGAGAGCTCTTGGAGAGGGATCAGGTCGGGGGCTTGGTGGGGCAGGGCTGGACCTCGGCAAAGCAAAGGAGGTGCTTTGGGGAAGTGAAATGTGGATTTGCCTTTACTGCTGCTTTCTCAGCCCCCTCACAAGAGGCTGGACACGAATCCCTCAGGAACCAGAAGGGTTCTTTTCCTAGGACTGGGAGCCAGGGCCATGGAGAGAGGGAGCATTTGGTGCCTGTGCCCATCTCTCCCACCAGGAGGACACCCTCGTCGCACCCCACGCACCGTGCTGTGAGGCAAGAGCAGACCCTCTGCACCTCAGGCTGGAGAAAACAGAGCTGGTAGCCTGGCATCATCTGGATTTACCCTTCCCGCTTAGTCCCCTCTGGGAAGCAGGACGTGACCTCTTCATTTCCACCCACCCAGGCACGGCTGGCAGCCGGCAGCGGCGGCACACGGCTCTGCATCTCTGGGCTGGAGCAATCAGCGCGCAGCAGGCATGCACAGACAAGTGTCAGCTGAATTTCTGCACGACTTTAAATACATTAGCAAGGCCACAAACACAGCTCCAAAGTGCTGTAGGCACAGCTGAGCTGATAAATAACCCCCCAACCCACCAGCAAGAAAATACCCCCCTGCTCTTTGCACAGGAGACAAGGCTTAGCATCGCTTTCCCCCTTCTATCTGTACAGCAACTGAGCAGATCCACTCTCCACCTTGCTGCGTTTGAATCCAGTACCAGAAGGGTCAATTCTGTGCCACTTCTGCGGAGTCATTATACTGTCGGTTATATAAATGTCTGGGCATGCACAAAAGGCAGTGCTGATACAGTGGCTCCGGCACCAACTCCCTCCAACACCTGCTTTTCAGCTGGAGAGAAAGCTGAGCACAAGAACATCTCGAGAGCTGTCACACAGAAGGCTGCTGTCTTTCAAGCTGAATGGAGGTCTAAATAGCTTTCACTTCTCCTTTAGAATCGCATTTCTAAATGCAATTAATACTGGCACATGCATAATGAGAGACTGACGAGTGAATACAGACTCCGGCAATAAAGAAGCCAGCCCCAAGTGCTATGTAAATATTACAAATCCTCACTAGAAGCTGACCCGGGAAAGACAGCTTTCTGGTGATTAAACCCAAGTGACAATACGACTGGATTCCTACATCTGTCACAATACTACCTGCTGACACATAATGAGCTACGCTAAAAGAACTAGCTCCTGCTGCTCTTCAATGCAGAGAAAATGTCTATTTGTAGAATGTAATTAATCTCTTCTTCAAAATCAGGAACCTTAGTGTCCTTGGTAACAACATGCTAGTGACTCAGAGAGCGTCTCTGGCTTTTTCTTCTGGTTTTTGAGCGAGTTACTGAAAGTGACCCCAAATTCTAGCCCTGAAAAGGAGCTGTGCTTCAGAAGTGGAAAAGCCAGCTGGGTTTCTGGAGGTGGGGAGGGGGGTTACCCACCTCGCTGGTCTCTGCAGGGCTCCTTCAGCAGCTTAAGAAGGTTCCTGGACTTGTTTCAGCCACCTTCCCTAGGATGAGACGAGCTCTGTCCCAAGACTTGGTCCCCGACCCATCGAGCACAAATTCCATTTTGCCAGCAGGTGTAACCAGGCAGAGAATAACACTGAAAGCAGAGCAAGGGCAGGAATTGCAGGATGAAGCTGCTCCCTCTTTTGCCCAGTTTCCACAGGCAATAAGCGCTGTGTGATCGTGCTCTGTGTGCGTGTACATGGACACAGGCGTGGGGCTGCTCCTGCAGATGGCTTTCCAGCCTGCTGGCTTATTTCAGCCAAGTTTGGCGAGGAATAGAGGTTCAAAGTCATCCAGTCCCTACCAGGTAGCGAAGATGCAAAGCCACGAGTGCTGGCATGGCAGAGGGATGCAGGGAAGTGCTGCTGGCAGAGCCCAGGGTCCCTTTGAGGGTTGTGCATGGGCATCGCCAGGCTGGCTGAGGTGGGGGCCAAAGAGGCAAAGCTGGGCCACTCAAAAGCACCCAGGGGCCGTATCTGCTTTCTATGAATTTCAGTAGGAAGCAACCGCTGCTGGATGTCGCTCACTGACCCAGTTCCAAAGCCCAGGGGAAGGATGGGCCGTGACAAAGGGACGGCTGGTTGGAGAGACCGGGTGATGGAGGGCTTGCATGATTTATTTATTTTTCCAGCAAAAAGGAGAGGAAGAATTGTTGGCTAAAATCAGCATATTGCAGGCTAAACTGTGCTGCAGCAATGTTTCATGGGACTTGAGCTGAGGTGCTCGGTCCCCCTGCAAGGGACGTTCACCCCTGCCCTCTGCACCCTGCTTTGCAGAGCCAGGGGGACGTGGGGAAGAGGGGTTTGGTGTCACTGAGGGCTCAGCTCCTTCGAGGCAAAGCCGCCCTTTCTTCCAGCAAGTTAATACCTTTCATTTAAAATGCCAAATTAGCCCAGAGGCTCTGCTCCCACTGAGGGCAAGGTTTCAGAGCAATTTGCCTGCAGGCTGCCTGGGGGCTGCAATTGGCATGGCTGCCCCAGCTCAGCCCATCTCCTCTGTCCCCAGGCACCCCGAGGGAGAGGAAGAGCCCAGGAGAGAGGCTGGCTCCGACCCTCACGCCACGTAACACTGCTCTGGAGTAAAAGCCAGGTGGGACGTAGAATCATAGAATGATAGAATCATTTAGTTTGGAAAAGACCTTTAACATCATCAAGCCCAACTATTACCCTAACCCTGCCATCCCACCACTAAACCCTGGCCCTAAGCACCTTGTCGGCCCAGCTTTTAAATACCCCCAGGGATGGGGACTCAACCCCTTCCTGGGCAGCCCCTTCCAGTGCTTGACAGCCCTTTCTGTGAAAAAAATTTTCCTAATGTCCAACCTCAACCTGCCCTGGCAGTTATCTGGGATAGATGTAGCTTTGGGGTAACTGTGGAAAGAAAGTGCTAGCTTGGGGTAAAAAGCCCAGTCTTTGCCTTTCTGCCCTGCTCACAGACCCTGCAGGCATTTTAATGATGGTTTCTTCCTGTTTTACCCAGGATTTATAGGTGTGTCTGTCTACTGGAGAGGCTGTGGAGGCTCTAGAAAAGTGGCTCGCTCTGGGGGAAGGAAATTAGAGCCTGAAACGGCCAGAGTGGAAGGGAAAAGCCCCTCTTGCCACCACTTTCAATAGCAGTTCAGTTCCCAGGTGAGGGCACATCCAGCCCTTCCCTCCCGCCCACTGCCTGGATGCCAGGAGCATCTCACAGGGACAGAGAAGGCAGCAGAGCCGGTGGTGGTCCAGACGGGGTGGGAATGGGGTGCATGTGATGCGGGGATTTGGGACTGAGGTGGCTTTGTGTCCTGCACAGTGACCCCAGGGAGCGAGGCTCCAGGCTGTCCATCTGCGGCTCCCAGCAAGCGTAGGGCAACCTCACCCTGCTGTCGTGGCCCTGGGAGGAACCTGGCGCTGTTGAAGGTGAGGGGATGCTGGCCTGGGCTGGGGCATGCATGTGGGGTTTGGGGGCGAGTTGAGGCCAGGGCTCTCTTTCCTAATCCCCCCTACCCTACAAGGGACTGCTGAATGCCTATGGGCAGCTCAGGGACTCACCCTGCCCTGCCCTTCCTTCAGCAGATGCCCCAAAGCTCATAACCTCGTCTGTCCCAGCTCTTAGAAAACAATTAACCACGACTCCTTCTCCTCCTGCAGCTCTCCTGTGCCGTGCAGCCGGCACCCAGCACATCCCAGCCTCGACACATGCCAAATCCCCTGGCAAAACAACCCACAACGCCGACCCACACGCCGACAAACCCTCTCGCAGCTCAGGGGGGACCAGGCACCTGGTTAAATGCTGGTGCAGAAAAGAAATTTGCCTGTCTTTAAGGCTGAGCCCTGGGGGGTGGCCAGCAGCCCCACGGCGATGCCCTCTGCAAGCCATAACCCAGCCTGCGGGCATGGGGCGATCAGGCATCCTGCTCCCATCGGTGGGGTTCGCACACCCTCTGCAGCTTTCCCATCTATACAAATACGTTAATAAAAGATCAGTTTGCAGACGCAGTTTGCTGTAGATGACAGCATTAGAGGTGCATCTGTTTCTACTAAGCACCAGTCTCGTGCTGGGTTTATTTGGTCCATTTGCGGCGGGGAAGAGTTGCTTTCGGCATTCAGAGATGTCTCGTGTCTGGGAGAAGTGGGGGGGAGATATATTTTTGGCTCTACTTAGCCACAAAAATTTGGGTTTAGAATAAAGAAAAATATTCCTGTTTTCTGTTTGCTGCCAAACTGAGGCAGACAGTTTCTTGTGCAAGCCTTCATTTGTTGGAGAACTCAGTGCCCTGTTCGAAAAATAAATGTTCAGATGGGAAAAGTCTATCAGCATGTATTGATCAGTCATCGGGACCGGTGGACTTGCAGATGTCAGCTGCAACCTAACTGAAAAAGCAGTTCCCAAAGCTTTTGCCAATACAGATGAGGCAGAAGGGGAAGGCAGAAGGGTCTTTGCTTTTTTGGTGAGTGAAGTAGTTACAGGGCAAAATCCTTTCTGTGGGCACAGTTGTGCTGGCCTCATCAGGGCTGGCATGAATTTTCAGTGCCAAATACACCCCCTTTGCACCCAGAACAGCCTGTTTGCTCCTTTCTGAGAGCCAACCACCGCTGGCAGCCATGAGCGGGACGCAGTGATGGGGGAAGGAGGGCGGCTGATCAGCCATGGTGGGAAAGAAGCCGGGGATGAGGCTCCTGCCCAGGATGCTCCCGGCTGACGGCAGCATCTTCTCCCCATCCTGGGGCTGTAGGGTCACCTCCCCACTGCCGAGGTAAGGCCAGACACACAGACAAGAGCTCACAGCAGCTTGGTTCTCCTCAGTGAGAATTTCACAAATGCCTACAGAGTTTTCCCAATCTTTTCTTTTTCCCCTGAAGATTTTCAATTAAGCCTTTACAACCTCAACTCACTTTAAACAAGTTTTTTTTTCTTGTTTTTGGTAAAGGAAATATTATGATCAGGAAAAATAAAACCACTGGTTTACCTGGAGCTGCCTTGATGTTATAGCAGATTGAAAGCAAGATGGAGAGTCAATAATGCTGGGAAGGGCGGGTCGGGGGATGAATACAATGTACATGCACTGAAGGCAGTGCAGAAGAGATCAGGGGCTGGAAAGACAAAAGCTTATCAGGATTTGAAGCTTCAAAAGCAGAATCAGCTCCTCAGCTGATATAAATCACCTGGACTCCCCTGACATGCTGGTATTGCTGTAGCATGGCTTTTATGTATTGATTTAAGTGAAAATAAAGGTCAGGGGCTTAGCTGCAGAGGAGGCATCAGGGCTGAGGCTGTTCAGCTCTGGGCGGGCAGTGATGAGCAACGAGGAGGATCTGCATTCAGGCAAGGTCAGAAACAGGTTGGAGAGGACCCCAAGAAAGATGCGCATATGCTGGAACTACGATAGCCCCAAACACTAGGAGCAGAGCCCGGCATAACCCGCTGAGGGTAGCCGACTGGAGCCCCGGTTCACAGGGTTAGCCTAGGCACAGTCATCCTAGGATTAGGGAAAATCCAGATTCCAGTCTGGATCTTACCATCAGTAACTCTGACCTTTCTCCCCATCTGGACTAGCATGAAAAAAAAATCCCAGAAAGGACAAAGTGGGGCCAGCTGGAAATGGCGCCCGCAAATGTCATGGTGCTGCCGGGAACAGGGTCACTGCACGGCAAACCTGGGTGTGCAAACATCGCTTGCTAAATCGACTGCACGGGGGTGTTGTAGATTTGTGGGATAAAGGTTTCCTGAGCCGTGGAAAGGCCAGCTCTCTGCCTGGGGACCTCTGAGAGGGTGGATTTCGTGAGAAATGTTCTTTATTTCCTCAATCAGCCGCAGCCAGCAGCTGAGTTAAGAGGGGGCGAGTCTGCCTGTAGCGAGCGGCCACGCAAGGGTTGCTGGCCACGATGAGGCGTTTGCTGTCTGTGCTGAGATTTGTGATGGTCCCGGAAGGCCCTTGGAGGGTGGGAGTGGGAATTCGCTTAACCTTGTTAACTGCATCCTCTCTGCCGGCCAAAACCACCCTCCGTTTTACGAGAAACACAGAATTGGTAGTGACAGCCCTCACGGGTCAGGCGTGGTGTCACTGGCAGTTCTCCGAGGGATGGGATGCTGATGGTCTCCTCAGGGCGAGGAGGCTGAAGGACCTGGTCACACCATTGTGGTCCCGCTGTCGTGGTCCCACTGAGGAGATGCCGCTTGTTTGAGGAGGAAGGAAGGGTTGTGACATCTCTGCTCTTCTTTCCATCTCTGTCCCTACTGAAATACACTCTGAAAAAAACAAAAGAGAAATGAAACAGTGGGTGGTGGAGGTGGTGTGGGACCAGCAGTCCCACGCGGCCTGGAGGAGGGCGTGAAGCTGCGGGGCCTTGCCGGGCGCAGCTCCCCGGGGTTTATCCGACTGTCTGTTTTCATCATTTCTCTGTGAGAAGGGAAGGGACCACACAGCAGCAGAAAGTCCTGGAAATCTGCGAGGGAGGCCGTTCCCAGCACTCTTCCCTCCGCCGTCGCCCCTGTATAGAGTTGGCTATGGAGGATGTACAGCTCTGCATAGGCTCCAACTCAGTGAGATAATGCCTCACAATTAAATTCCTAATTACAGCCAGTGAGTGCACTTTCCCGGCTCTGACCCTCCTGTCTTGGTTGCACACGTGGTCGCTCTGACGGGCAAAGGCTGGGGTCACCCCATCTCGACTGGCCTTGTCTGGTCCATCCCCTCCACATCAGACACCGCTGTCTCTCCTCTGCTCCTGCTTCTGAGGCATCCTAAGGGCTGCTTGTGCCTTTTCTCAAAAAAAAAAGAAATCAGCCAAAAAACTACAATAGAAGCAGGGGGAGGAAATTGCTTCAAGTTTCTTTACTATCTCATGGAACAAAAATGCTTCTTAAGGCTGTTCAGGGAAAG